TGATTCGTCTGAGAACAATACGGTCTTCCAAAAGTCCAGAGGCTTGGGCATCATATCACTTGCCCACTTGTTGGCAGGTCTTAATAAGGGCTTCCGTCTAGCTGCTCTGCAACGATAACCCAATCTGTAGAAATCCGTTGAACAGATTTCGGGCTCATCCCACCAACTTTGGCCACTTTTGCAGTCGTTAATCTGGGATCCATTTCGATGCTCCTCTTGACAGCCCTTTTTGTCCTCTCCGATGGACCAGGACGACCTGGACGCTGCTCAGTTGTTTCCTTGACGTGTTTCCTGAACTGCACAATGATTCTGTTGACTGTCAGAAGCGGGATTCCCAAATACTGTGAAATTTGCCACTGACTTATTGCACCATCTGCTTGACCAACTATCCTTCCTCTAACAAAATTTGACAATTCGAGATAACCTTGAGTTCTAGGCATGTTGTAGCACAAGATAATTAGTGTGCAGACCATTTTCATTTATATAGTGCTCTGTGAACACAAATTAGTTAGCATAAATCAGTTAAATGATGAAAAATTAGGTGTCTATTGTGACCACTCAGTGTACTTGCAAATATCTTGTCTCATTAACTGTAGATAGATCTAATATGTTTATCATTATTTCATACAGGAATAGGAGTTTTCCATCTTAGAAATTTTGTAAGAAGCTTGAAAAATTAAGTTTTATAATGTACCACTACCTGACAAACATCATTTCTATTAATTCTCATTAATTACCCTCTTATATACCTACATTGTCATTTGCTACATGGGTGTCTGATGGAGGTTTCATTGTGTCAGCTTTCTTGAAATGCGGAGATGACACAACCCATAATGATAAACCTGTGAAATATAAATGTAATTGGCAACAGTGCAATGAAAGCAATTAGTTAAATAGTCCATATGCACAGTGAGTAGGGAAAACTGACATTCTTAGACAGTGTTTCTCTATTATTTGTAACTACTGTCTGGATTATGGAATTAATAGTAAAAAGGCTCCTCGTAATCACCATACAAAAGATGAATCCCATGTCAAATTATTATCACCACAGAATCAGGAGCAGAAGGCTATTTTATTGTTTGGGGGGTTGTTTTTTATGCTTGCACCTTTTTGTACAATAAAAGGTTTTTTGCAGTTATTTTGCAAAGTATGTTTGTTTCTGTAGATTGTTTGTGCATATTTGTTTAGTACTTGTAATTTATATGTTAAAATATAGAGTTCGAAAAATTTCCCCTCATTTCACATGGCAGAATAAATTTTCAGTCTTTGCTACTTTGCAGTACTCCCACAACTATTAATAGCTAAAAAGATACATTTTTCTTTTAGCTGACAACTACTTTTTTGTATTCATGCAATACTTAAAAGGTTGTTTACATGTATATAATACAAAGTGGAGAGGTCTGAAATGTCTATTACACATTGCTAGAAGTAATTTTAAAATATTAATTCCTACAGTACTTAGGTATTGAGTTATCAGAGAAAAACCATATCATTAGTAATGACTTGTATCTTTATGTCACAAATGATAAGCTCTATATCTTTGGTTTTCTCTTCCCATTTAGTTGGATGTAAATCTGAAGAAAGGAAGTCATTCTACTGAAGAGGAAGGTAAGACAAGGAATAAAAACATAAAATAAAGTCATGACATTTACCACTTCTAGGAAGTATATATTGTCACTTCTTTAAACACTTAACTAACCCATCCTGCTGAAATATATATATGTTAGACCACATTAAAGGAATGGATGGTATAAATTGAAAGATTAGCATTCCTTCATTCCATTGTTCTTCACACTGCAATGCTTTCCAAACGTTTTTTTTTACCACATTTTGAGATGTAAAATTTTATACAACTCCAGACAACAACCAACACATTGATAGGGCAATTTTCAAAGTAACAGTCTTCTCATAACCTTGCATAGGGTTGTGAACCCCATGGGTTTGGGAACTGCAATCCTGCTAAAATAAATATTCAACAATTACCACTCCCCAGATGTCAATTATATATCACTCCTTCACAAGATTATCTGATTTTGTTCCTCCTACTAAAATAAAGATATAATGCTTACTAAGATTTTGATTATATCACTTTATCAGAAGAATATCTGATTTTATACTCAACTAAAGATGTGGCTCTTTATCATACCAATGAAATGAACTTTGTAACTTTTAAAATATTTGTAACTGACTTAATTTTCTTACTAAAAGAAGGGTCTGAGTCTTTACTTCAAAATAGTACAAGGTAATTTATTTTCTGACTTTTTTTTACAAGATTATTAGGTGCTGCTCTTCCTACTGGAATAAATGTGACTGTTATTACTTCAGAAGATTAGGGTTTATTACTTATTTACAAGATTATTACCCCACTCATCCAAGTGAAATAAAGACATGACACTCACCATATCGGAAGATTAGATTTTCACTTTATTAAGAGATTGTTTCATTAACTGGATTTATTCCTTCTTCTGAAATATAGATGAGGATGGATGTAATAAAATCTACAAGAATGTTTATTTTACTTTGTTCTTTCCTAGTTAACAAGCAGATCAATGACAAAGAAAGATGAGTAGATTTTATTACATCCATCCAAGAATGTTTATTTTACTTTGTTCTTTCCTAGTTAACAAGCAGATCAATGACAAAGAAAGAATTGCAGCTGCCATGGAAAATCCAAGTTTAAGAGAGCTCGTGGAGCAGTGTACAAAGTCCCTAAGTGACATATGATGTTTATATATTTTTTTATAATCTGAAAGATAAACATCAGAATGTAACACAGAAAACAAACTTTCTGTCATGTCTGAAAGATATTTTGTCTATTGAAGGAAAACTTTGATACTTTTGGTTACTTATTGCTGTTATTATAAGTTCTTAATCAGTAAATGTATAAAGATGTTCTGTTTTATAAAATATGAAAATGGTTTATTACAACCAAAAAGTCTTTTTTTATTATGTAACGTGCACTAGTTGGCAGTTCTATCGCATTAATATCCTGATATAAAAACTAGAACTGATTTTTTAGATTTTGCAGTGTTCTTACAGACAAAAACATTCATAGAAAATGATTTGAATCTCTGAATATCTAGAAATGTTCCGTGTGAAGAAGGTTAGGTTTGACAATTTGCTCAAATAAAACAATATGCTGTTACAGTGACAGAATCGGGAAATACAAAAGTGATTAAAGTAGTTATATATGCAACTTATATACCCAACTTTCATTGATATGACTATGCTTACTAGAAAAGTTTATTTCTACAGTATTGCATCATAATATATGAAATCAGTTGATTTGATTTTGAAAACTGAGACTTTAACTAACATACATGTCTGAGTTCATTTACAGGAAATTTTGGTAATATTCTGTACTCTTCTCTATGAACAAGGTGTCTGAAAAATTATGTTAGTTTGAAAGTTTAACTTCCTAGTTCTTCAGGGTCATATTCACTTTTACTACACAGTAGTGTATAGTAAGAATGAATGTGGAACTACTTGGTCTGGTTTTTGTTCTGCTTAATTTACATATAGTTATTTGAAATGGCTGTACATTAAAATGCTTGATGTCAAGTAAATGCTGTTTCCAAAATATTAAAGTTGTTGTGATTGATAAATTATAGCAAATAAATCATTAACAATAAATCTCATTCATTGTTATTTTGTGAATACATCATACTTCCTAGATTTACTTTTCAGGTGTATAGTAGTTTTGTTTTCTTTAAATCAAATAGTACAAAACTACTTGTACAAACGAAAAAACAAACAGTGAAGTATTGCTTTATATATGTTATACCAACATAAATCTACCATGAGACTTTAGTAGTCAGTATTGGTGAAGGATACCAGAAAAAGAAAGATTTGGAAAACCAAAAGGGTGTTAATTTTGTGATGTGACAATAAGGAAGGAAAACTCACAAGTTATTGTACACAATAACTTTCAGTGGAGAAGTACCAAGACCATGGGTCAAATTTTCAGTCACATGCTATTCATGGTTTTTGTTTATGCTGTAAGATTTGTAACAAAGATAACTTTTGACAGTTGTCTAATGGAACAAAGGATTTAAAATCTGACATTACACTTGAGTGAAATACAGAGGCAGAAGATTATCTGGAAGCATTTCAACAGAAGAAAGAATTAGAATCTTGACTTAAAATGAACCAACTCTTCAATATGGAAATTCTGCACTTGATTTAACAAGTGGTGGAACACTGACAAACTGTGCTTAAAAGACTTATTGTTTTGATAAGAATTCTTGGAATTTAAAATATTGCTCTTTGTTAAAATCTTGAGATGCCCCTCACACCCAGAAGCAGAAATTTCTTGAAAATTTGGCAATGTTTGATCCTATCATAAAAACAAAACACTGTAAAAGAATTACCACACAAGAAAGCTATAAGCAGTATCTGTGAAATGATATCCAGAATCAGCTAAATCGTTTGCTGTACAATGAGATTTCAGACTCGTAATGGCTACTGCTATAAATGTCAACTGTTAATTGATTTTTACTTCACTGTACTCAGACATAAGCCACAAATCATATCTATCGAGACATCTGTGACTCAAGATGGTGAATCAGTGTCATTGAGCATCTTCTTAGATTTTTGGGGCTGAAAAAGACAATTTCAGGAAAATCATAGTTCTTCCAAGCAAACTTGAGTAAATGGTACAGTTCCTGGAAGACTTTAAATCAGAGTTTTTTTTCACACACTATATCCTATGTTGAATGATGCAATTAACATTTCTACCAAGGCAGTGAAGTTCTTTGACTTGAATGAAAGCACATAAATCTACTTTTCTACTTCAACATATTATTGAGAAGTATTGCTACATCATTTTCCCCATTCAATGATAAGGTCATTGAGTAACACAGATTGAGAAAGGAGAATTAATGCTGTTTGTTCTGCATTTTGACACTTGCAAAAGCTGAGAGAGGTGTATGTTGCTCTGGTGTCCATTGCAGAAAGCACCACACTCATAAGAACTAGAGTAATACAGTAGCATTCTAAAACAAAAGCAATTACTACAAAGATATATTAAAATACTCGACAGTCGTAAAAAGTCACTCTACATGTCCTTTAAAAAAAACAGAGGTGCAAATTGATGAAACAACTACCTCAATTAAATTTCCTAGTGAAATGTAAAAGAAATGATATTATACCAAAATTTTATAAATGTAAAATGTAACTATTCTTTCCTGTGTTATAAAAAACTTGTACCTTTAAAAATTCTATAGAATATTTGGAAAAAATAAGTAAGATTAATCTAAATAATGATGATATACTTGTATCTTTTGATGTTGTATCACTATTCACAAAAGTAGCTATAAATTGTTTTGAAGACAAATTATGAATGAATAATGTGCCAGTCGTTGAAATTTTAGACATGATAAATTTAACAAAACTTGTGTGGAAAAATTCATTTTTCAATTTAATAATAAGATCTATAAACAGACTGAAGGCCTAGCTATGGGTTTTCCCATTATCTCTCTTGCTTTGTGCTCATATCATGGATAGGTTTGAAACTGGTGCTTTATAAAGTGCTAAACTTAAACCAGAATTATAGGTTAGGTATGTTGATGACACTTTTGTGGTGCAGTGAAATGGTAAAGAAAACTTTCTAGTTTTTTGCTAATTACTTAAATAGTCTTGGACCTCTATTCAATTTACTTATGAAGTTGAAGAAAATAATAGTTTACTATTTTTGGATGTATTAGTTAAGAAAAAATGTCAGCTTTTTACTCTTACACTTACAGGTTTTTAAAGCAATACTCTAATCCAGAATAATTAAAAAATGAACTGCTATTAATCAAATATGTAGCATTAGATAGAGGTTTCTCACCTCACATTGTTGATATAGCTGTAGGAAAATTTAACAAAATAACAAATGATGATCAAAAAAGTAAACTAAAATCAAAATTTGATAAAACAGATAAAAAAGAAATGTTGTTTTTACCGTATGTCTCAGGTTTGTCATATTAAATTTTTGTGAATTAAAAAAACTCATTCCCATTATAGACCATTGAATAAAATTAGTCAGATATGAAATAATCTAATGAAGAAAACGTTTATCTATAAATGTAAATGTAGTGGTTTATATGTTGGTCAAACTAGAAGAAATTTAAAACTTGGAGTAAATGAACATAAGAGAATTGTTAAAAACAAAAGTGAAAACTCTGCACTAGTTGAACTTGCAAATTAAATTGGTCATGCTATCCAGTGGGAAAGAACTGTTATTTTGGCTCAACTGAATAATATGATGGCTAGAAATAGAAAAACCATAGAAAAAGAAGTAGAGTGAAAATAATTTCATCTTAAATAAGGATTCGAAAATCATAAAGTAGATGGTGTGATCTTTTTTAATTATATAAACTAGCAGTCACATGACCATGGTTTATTTTTGTATTTATATGTTGCACAGAATATGTTTTTCACACTCCTGAGGATGACATAAAAAATGTTGAAACATGTAGAGTGCCTTTTTACAATCATTGATCAGTTTTTAATTGTATATTATACAACTTTAATCATTGAGTCTTGTAATATATTTTAGATATTTATACAAGTTTCCTTGAATTTTTATCCATCTACTACAAAGATATGTTTCAAACTTTGTGTCTAGTCTTGTGGCATGACAAACAATTTCTGCATGGAAATAACCTTGCCAGCAGGCAGCTGTAAGATAGTGATCTTGACATGTCCTAAGTTATTACACCACTACGAAAAAATATATCCTTCACTGTACTGATGAAGGCTTTGCAAATGCATTGATGAGTGCAAGAGAGCTTACAAAATAATTGAAAATCATTGAAAACTTTTTGCAAAACAGTAGATTCACTCAAGAAAATAAATTAGAAAAGGTGGGCTTTTCTCCAGGTTTGTGGATGACCAAGATGGATGTCGCAAATGCTTACTTGAATATCCCGATATTTTGTTAGTCTCGACCATATCTTTGGTTTGTTCATCACAGTGTGGTTTATCAGTTTCACACACACTGCCCTTTGGGCTTGCTTTGGCCCCATATGGTTTTTGTTGGGTGGTCAGAGCATTTGCTTGTCACCTACAAGCTCTCGGGTTGCATGTTCATCATTATATGGATGACTGGATACTGTTAGCTCATTCCAAACAGGAGTCTGCCCATCACACTCATCAGCTGCTCTTGGAAGCAGCTCGAGTGAGCTGGTTAATCAAATTGGATAAGTCATTCCTTCAACCTACCAAAAATCTTGTCCATTTGGGTGTTCTTGCTTTGTCTTTAGTGGGGTATTCGTCACATATATGCTTTTACCACATTCCTCAACCACAAATTACCTCTGTTTTAGTCTCTGGTCCCCCCATCATATGGACGACTGGATACTGTTAGCTCATTAAAAGTGATACCCTGTATTAGTGTATAACAAACTGAACGTTAAGCACGACTGTATGTGTAATTTAGGGTTAGAAGAAAATAGGTTTATTTTGTATGTTTCGCTTGGTTAACTCAGCATCATCAGGTAAACAGGTCAGACAAAAAAAACTTTAGATACCAATATGTGAAAGACAAAAAAAACTATTAAACATGGGAAACAATAATTCACGCAACAATACTATTTGAATGAAATGAGAAAAACAAGTCTCGTTACAAAGAACATGGCTGTTAAGTACAATCATGGTGTTCACACAAGTTTTTTATAGATTGTACATACTATGTAACAATAATAAAAACTTTTGGGTATTACAAAAACAGTTCTTTCTAATATTCATGTTACTTTTCAGATTCAGTAGAAAGTTTACCTAAACCTAACAATGAACTGCCTCTCTTAACAGCAAGAACAATTTGGACCTAAGCCTAAGAACAGTTGTTGTTTGTTTTGTATCTCACCTGATGATGCCAGATAAACCTGGTAAAAGATGGTGAACAAAATAAGTTTTACTTTGTACGACTAATAAAAAAACTTATGAATTTTTTTATATCATAATTCTTTCTAATATTTAATTAGAATCAGGGTGTGGTGTGAATGAGGAGATCAAAAATAACTTAAGGTTATATATTAAAAATACACTGGATAATGAGTGTAAAAAGTTAAAAGGCTTAAAGTAACCATGTAAGTGCAATTAAACCAAATAATCTAGTCATTATATTTCGCTTCGCAGCATTAACATCGAATTATTCGAGTTAAGGTGCAATATGATGATTTAAGTGTGAAATTACGGTGTCAAAGTAACCATCATTCTAAATTAATTGAGAATTATAAATGAAGTAAATGGTAATTATACTGTTACGTCTCCGTTTGTTAATTGATTTTTCCGTAACTTCGTTCCAACGAAACTTTAACGATGCAAGTCT